TTGTGCACGGCCAGTTGGGGAGCCCATGCTGGCACTGCCACCTCACTTGTGGGGCTGGAGCGCACAGAATCTACTAGCCTGCCCTCCCCCCCCTTTGGCTCTGGTGTGCAAGGGGAATGTGGGGAGTGTCTTTCTCTTTCGCAGCTTGAGTTGTAACTGACTATCTGCAAGAAGGCATAGGGTACTAAAAAGGAACGCAGTCTGTACTGAAAGCTGGGGGGGGGGTGATCCCCAAGTTGTTGTCACTTGTGGGGCTGGAGCGCACAGAATCTACTAGCCTGCCCTCCCCCCCCTTTGGCTCTGGTGTGCAAGGGGAATGTGGGGAGTGTCTTTCTCTTTCGCAGCTTGAGTTGTAACTGACTATCTGCAAGAAGGCATAGGGTACTAAAAAGGAACGCAGTCTGTACTGAAAGCTGGGGGGGGGGTGATCCCCAAGTTGTTGTATCATGCAAGCAAGATAGTAACAAACTTCAACAGGCCTTTTATTTAACAAAGGTGAAACCTCTTTACAAAGCTGCTGCTGCTCCCCTCTGTAGCTCTCACTCAGGCCTGGCCCATCTCCTCCCCCCTCCTTCCTCTTTCCTGTGCTTCCAGATTCCCAACAGCCAGTGCTCCCAGTTCTAATAATTACAAGCAGCATCTAAAACACCGCACAGGTAGAGGATAAATTCTTGTGCTTGCTCTGATGGAGCTAGCATACCAAACATAGAAGGATGCTGTGTCAGCAAATGTCTGAGATCACATGCATATAAGTACATAATTTTGATGGTTAGTCCCTCCTGCTGGTTTGGTTACACTATTGGTTATGCTCTATATTTAGTGAGCCGTCTCAATCAGAGATGGTGAGAATAAGGGCTTGTCTTCACCATTGGCTCAGTGATCAATCCAGTTGGTGTTGATTTATCAAGTCTATTAAAGTCACGATAAATTGACCACAGATCACTCTCCCGTTGACTCTGGTACTTCACCTCAATGATAAGTGCAAGGGGAGTTGATGGGAGAGCACTGCCTGTCAGTGCACTGCGTCAAGCATGCTGCAGTAAGTAGATCTAAATATGCTGACCTCACCTATGGTAATTGCATAACTGAAGCTGCATAACTTAGATCCTATGTTTCTTCGAGGTGGGAACTGCATTTCCAACTCAAAGTGAAGGTGTTGACACTGCATTCCTCTATCTGGCCTTTCCTTGCAACAAAGATATCCAGCATGAATAACAGGAAGGGGGTGGGGGGGGATTTCCTGAGCCACTAAAGACAAATCAAATGGGCTGCATCTCGCCAGCTTAACTTTGTAAAAGGGAACCTTTCTCTCATGGCATGCTGCAGGAGGACCAGGGAGTTTACCAGAGCAAAGTCCGGGATATGATCCACGATAATCAGTATCGTCTGATTGTTAGCATCAATGAGCTGAGGAGGAAGAACGAGAAGAGAGCCAACCGGTAAGAGTAACCTGTGAAGGAACTCGACAAGAGTGTTTCTTCCAACTTGGCTCCTGCACAGCATGTAGTGAGTAGTATGAGAGGAGAGCCTGTACAGTTGTTGTTTCCATGTTGGCAAACTTTGCAGGCAGGTCAATGGGTTAAACTATTACTTTCTCTCTAAAGCTCTGTAGTAGAAAAGGTTTGTCCAGTGTACTAACACCAGCAAATCCTACTAAAGGAAATGTAGATTACACAGGTACCCTAAGCACTTTTGCTGCTATACCTTTTAGAGGGACTCTGAGCAAAATAAGATGTACCAGCCAAAATGCTTATGCTGGTATTGCAGCATCTACAGCAGGGCTTTTGTCAGTGTTGAAATGGTGCTGACCCTTCCCCCAAAAAAGAAATACTAACACACTTGTAAAAGTTTCTTGTGTAGACCTGTGCTAAGGTAATATCTTCACAACCAGAAAAGTGTGTGCTTTTTGTTTTATTATTGTTTGTTGTTGTTTTTGTTACAGCAAGATAACTATCATGCATTAGCCATCTTGATGCAAAATTATAGGAGATGAAGCACAGGTAGCATTTATCATGATGTAGCTCAGGCGTGGGGAATCTTTTTTTTTAGGTTGGTGGCCACTGACCCACAGAGAAAAAATCAGTTGGGGGCTAACCAAGTGAGAAGCAAAAAAATAAACCCTCCACAGTCCTCACTGACCTGGTCCCCAGTGAGAAGAAGGAAAAGAAGACCTTTCCCTCAAGCTCCAGTCCTGGAGATAGGGGAGGCTCTGAGGCTCAGGGGTTACACCACAGTGCTGGATTAACTCTTCTGGGGGCCCAGAGATACTCTCTGGAGTGGGGCCAAAAATGAGGGGTCCAGTGTGTGAGAGGGGGCAGTCGGGGAGAGGGCTAGGAGTATGGTTGTGGAGTCAGGGAGGGAGGGTTCAGGAATGGGTTAGACTGTATGGGGTCAGGGCAGGAGGGAGGTGGCAGAAGCATGGTGAGGATGCATGGTCTGGGAGGGAGGGTACAGGAGGAGGCTGGAGGTGAGGTGCAGGGTCTGGAAGGGAAGGAAGGAGCGTGCAGACATGAGGACTGAGCAGGGGATACAGGAGGGGGCAGTGGATATGGGGTACCTCTCACCCTGCCTTGGAAAGTCCATGGGGCCCAATCCAGCCTATGTCTTGCTTTGATTGGGCCCACAAGGCATAAGCCATGTGCTTCCCCCCTGCCTCATGGCTGGAGTGCCAGTGCTGGCTTGTGCTGCTGAGGGAGAGCAAGCCCCAAGCCTCGTGGGCCAGATTAAGTCAATGCAAACTCCCTTTTGTGCATTTTGGTTGGCATGAGACTCCATCTTATCTGCTGAGAACATCACATCTGCAAACTGGAATCTGGCAAGCAAGGTCCAGTCTCCTATTTTAGAGGGCATTCAATCCGTATGCAATTCTAAACCTGGGACTTGCCTTCTCCCCAGATTCAAGGACCAGCTGCGACCCTGTGTAGCATTCTAGCCTGTGTGCATTTGTGCTAAGAAAACCTGCTTGCTGCGATGTTTGCAGAAAGCCCATATGGGGGTTGGAACATTTTAAAAGCACCCAGTAATTTAGGAATCTTAATGAAGTTCAAGACTAGTCTTACTCAAATATTTCAGCACCTACAGATAGGCACCTAATGAGACTTTCAAAAGTGATATATTCAGTTTGGTTCCTAAATCCCATATACTTGCAGTAGAGTATCGATCCTGGTTAGGGACTTGATGTCCATAGTGCATTCACTTCTTGACTGAAATGAATCCTCACATGGGTGATGGGAAAACAATTGTCAGTGTTTGCACAGCTCTGCCGCTGTTCTGTGAGGGCACTAGGAATTGCCGTTCTGTAAAGAAAGGGTCTTCCTGCTGTGGATGTGCTAGCAAGACAGCTGAACTGATTGGAGTCCTGCTGCCTTTTGCTCTAGGCTCCTGAGTAGTGCCTTCGAGGAGCTGGTTGCCTTTCAGCGTGCCCTGAAGGACTTTGTCGCGTCCATCGATGCCACGTACGCTAAGCAATATGAGGAATTCTACATCGGGCTGGAGGGCAGCTTTGGCTCCAAGCATGTGACTCCCCGGACACTGACATCCTGTCTTTTGGGCTGCATGGTCTGTGTGGAGGGCATTGTAACAAAATGTGAGTGCAGGGGGGGGCTGAGATGTGCCATATGAATGCCCATATGGGATTGATAACTGCCTGTAGATACTAGACCAGTGAGAATGTCAGGGATGGCTAGGATGATCCAGGGTAGTGCTGCTTAAATTAGAGTCTCATAGACTTTAAGGTCAGAAGGGATCATTGTGATCATCTAGTCTGACCCCCTGCACAGTGCAGGCTACAGAATCTCACCCACCCCTCCCAGAATAATCCCCTCACCTATATCTCAGATATTGAAGCCTTCAAATACTTTGAAGACCTCAAGATGCAGAAAATCCTCTAGCTGTGATCTGTGCCCCATGCTACAGAGGAAGGCGAAAAACCTCCAGGGCCTCTGCCAATCTACCCTGGAGGAAAATTCCTTCCCGACCCCAAATATGGCGATCAGCTAAACCCTGAGCATGTGGGCAAGACTCATCAGCCAGACACCCAGAAAGTTCTCTAGTAATTCCTATCATCCCTCCATTGACCTATTTCCCAATGATACTGAATGGTCAATTAGTTACCAAGATCATGTTATCTCATCAAACAATCCCCTTCATAAACCCATCTAGTTTAATCTTGAAGCCAGATAGATCTTTTGCCCCCACTACTTCCCTTGGAAGGCCGTTTCAGAACCTCACTCCTCTAATGGTTCTTCTAATCCAGAAGAACAGGGATTTCCAGGACCCTACATCTGAATTCAGAGTTCCCTTCTGCACCCCAAACCCCTTGTCCCGCTTCACCCCATACAGCCAGAGCCCTCACCTCCACCTCCCCCTACCACACCTCAACCTCATATCCCAGCCTGGTGAAAGTGAGTGAGGCTGGGGAAGAGGAAGCCACAGAGGGTAGAGTGAGAAGAGGTGCTGCAATAGGGGGCGGGAAACAATTTTTTGTTAGAGAATCACTTTTCTAAGGTATATCTAGGAGTCCTGGAGTGAAAGGTAGCCAAGAAGTTTAAGTTTGCTGTCAGGGAACATGTCCGGAGACCTGTCTGTTGTGGAATGGTCTCCCAGTGAAACCTCATTGCTGGAGTCATGTCTACAGGGTTTCTTCTAACTTTTTTTCCTCCCACTAAACAAATGTTAAACACAGGCTCTCTGGTACGTCCGAAGATCGTCCGCAGTGTCCATTACTGCCCTGCTACCAAGAAGACCATTGAACGCCGATATACGGACCTGACGAGTCTTGATGCTTTTCCATCCAGCTCTGTCTACCCCACTAAGGTGAGCAAACAGAGGTAGTGTCAAACATTCACCAGAGGCCAGGGGAGGGAAGTGACTTGTGCAGGACTGTACATGAGTTCATCTGTGGACTGTGCATGTTGGTTTAAAGCAGCAGTAATATATAGGCCTAGCTACGGCAGAGGTGCTGATGCATTTGGGGCCTCTTCTAGTGTCCAGTCAAATGCCCTCCCAAGAAACAGACAGCAGCATCAGCTAACACCGTGTTAGTCCTGAAGGCAATAGCACAAAGGAGGTTGCTTATGAATCGCTTTGCAGTCTGTGCTGAATTTGCTAGAGTTCAAATCTAGGCTCCTGGTCAGACAGAAGCATCTACTAGATTGGATCGAGTGGTCTCTTAGGGTACGTCTAGACTACATGCCTCTGTCGCCAGAGGCATGTAGATTAGGCTACCAGACATAGGAAAATGAAGCGGCGATTTAAATAATCGCCGTTCATTTAAATGTACATGGCTGCCGCGCTGAGCCGACAAACAGCTGATTAGCTGTTTGTCGGCTCAGCGTGGCAGCCATGTACATTTAAATGAACGGCGATTATTTAAATCGCCGCTTCATTTTCCTATGTCTGGTAGCCTAATCTACATGCCTCTGGCGACAGAGGCATGTAGTCTAGACGTACCCTTAGGCAGAGTGATCACTTGGTCTCTGGAGAACGTAGTGGATAATTTGGCTACCAGCGACCACATAATGCTCTTCCCACCAGAAAGTCTTGCTCATGCACAGGTGATCCATGACTGCTTGTCTGGGACAGCCAGCAGACCTCTCTATGACTACTGAGTCCATGCTAGTGCTTGGGTGGGCCGAAGGGGCTTGTGCCAAGTAGTGCAAGCTGTTAGTCGGGGAGCTGGAGAGCCTGGGTGAACCACAGGGTGTCTGTGCCCAGTAGCCTCAATAACGAAGCCCCTTGCAGCATAGTCCTGTCTCATTGCTACATCGGCCTTCCTTCTTGCTGTCCTGTTTTGGTGACCCCATCTACCCTGGAGAGTCCCCTGCCATGCTTCTGTGAATGAGGAGTCTGTGTCGCTTGTCCAGGATGAAGAAAACAATCCCCTGGAAACAGAGTTTGGCCTCTCGGTCTACAAGGACCATCAAACCATCACCATCCAGGAGATGCCTGAGAAAGCCCCGGCTGGGCAGCTTCCTCGCTCTGTGGATATTGTTCTGGATGATGACCTGGTGGACAGAGTGAAGCCTGGGGATCGAATCCAGGTCATTGGGACGTACCGCTGTCTGCCTGGGAAGAAGGGGGGCTACACATCGGGGACGTTCAGGTGAGGAGCATAGTGTAATCCCCTTCCCTTCGGATGTCTGCTGTCACCCTGAATGCTTTATGCCTTTTCTAGGAGGTTTACGGCACCTCCCACTGAGTTGTAGCCACCTCTGGGGAGAGAGATAGTACAGGTTGAACCTCTCTAGTCCAGCACCCTCTGGTTTGGAAATATCCATGGTCTTGCATGATCGTGGTTAGTCAGATGTTCACTTATGGGTGTGGCTAAGCTTCATGCATTCCCATAAAGTTTGTGTACCACCACCGCCAACCTTTGAAGAGCCCAGTAAGCAGCAGAAGTGTTGGTAACGGTTCTAGACAATATTGACCTCCCATGGTTTGGCAAATTCTCTGGTTTGGCAATGGTCAGAGCCCAAGGTGCTGGATTAGAGAGGTTCAACCTGTAGCTGTCAAGCAGCAGCATAGTGTCCTAATTAGGCCAGAACACTGGGTCAAACACCCTGAATCTCTTGGAAGGACCAATTCCATCTCTAGTCACTATGGATGACTTTGCTCAAAGAAATGTCAGGGATTTGGTGCTGCAGACACAGATGAAGGGTAATGCAAGTCTTAAGAATGGTCTTGTTGCTCAGTTAATCAAGCAGACATGAGGCATCAAGAATATTCTCTTTTTGAGCTTTCCAGTCTCAAGACTTGAGGAGCTGGTCCTTTTGGAAGGAGGCCCTAGGTGATGGCTGTAATCTGTACGTCCTTGGATGGTTGGGCTGTCTGCAGGGTTTCTGTGTTCTAGACTTGACCAAGGTCCCTCTCCGTTCCAGAACCATTATGATCGCCTGCCATGTGAAGCAGATGAGCAAAGAAGTTCGGCCTCTCTATTCTGCCACTGATGTGGCCAAGATCAAGAGATTTAGCAAAAGTCGCTCAAAGGTATTAAGCTTTAATTTCAAATGCACCCTGTAGAAAATTGTATATGAGATGGGACTATAAACAGTATTCGTGTAGCCCATTTCCAGGGCTCAATGCAGGATTTTTCTGTATTTTTTTTCTAGTATTTTGCTAGGCTTTAAATAGCTCTCATGATATAGCTTGCGCCTTTTATCCTGTGCAGGGGTGAGAGACTTAGTCTACTGTCTCAGCATCATTGTATCATTTGTTTAGTTTCTTCTCCTTGCTTAGGCCCAATGTGAACAATTCCCTTGCTTCATGTTGATGCTCTTCAGATACTACTAGTTCACTGTCCGTGTGATCAGAGGTGTCTGTTGTGCATCTGCCGATCAAACTGGAATCCAGTCATGTTTGCTCTTTGAAGAATACTTATGTTTTCTCACTCTGAAACTCTACCTTTCTCCTTAGCTGGTCAAAGCTTGAGCTTTGCCAAGGCTCAGAGGATACAAGGCCAAATCCTACACTTACCTAAACTTATCAGCCCCGGTCTATGCCTCTCCTTACTGCAGTGCCTGCAGGTCTTTTCTTAACCAGAAAGTGCCAGCACGCTGACCTCTGTTAACAGAAGCTCAGAATCTTGTAAATAACTTTGATATAAGGTCTGGCCCAAAGTATGGAGGGAAAAAAAGGGGCGGGGGGGAGGGCCTTCCTTGGGTGTTTTTGTCACATAAAGGTGCATCCAACCAGATTGTAAAACCACATTGTAAAAATTCTTCCCTCTAGATTCCCTGCGAAAGGATTTCAAACCACCCCTTCTAACTTATCAGTTGTTGTTTACCTTTGTTCTCAGCTGGTTGAAGTACAGTTAGTTAGTTGAATCAGTGTTTCCCTTTAGTTCCCCAAGCTAGCCCCATGCTTCTGGGAGTGGTGGGGGGTAGTTCCTGTCTTTCCAGGAAATGTGCCTGAGGTGTAACAGTTGTCAGTGAAAGCTCCTTCCTTTCTCATTGATTCTAAGCTGATTCGTTAGACTAGCAAAGCCTGAACTAATTGATTGTTAAAGGGAAGCCATTCTTGCTAGTGGCTGGCTGGCTTTTTAATGTGATGCACCTTGTTTCCTTTGCCTTAGGATATCTTTGACCAGCTCTCGAGGTCTCTGGCCCCCAGTATCCACGGGCATGAGTATATCAAGAAGGCGATTCTCTGCATGCTGCTCGGAGGGGTTGAGAAGATCCTGGAGAATGGGAGCCGCATCCGAGGAGACATCAACATCCTGCTGATAGGTAGGATGGAGGGGAGTGGCTCTGGGATGCTATGGTAATGGGAGGGCAAAGCCTGTGGGATTGGACGCTTCATAATCCCTAGTACTTGTCCTTTTCAGGAGACCCTTCAGTTGCCAAATCTCAGCTGCTGCGTTATGTGCTCTCCACGGCTCCCCGGGCCATCCCTACCACCGGCAGGGGCTCCTCCGGGGTTGGTCTCACTGCTGCAGTCACCACAGACCAAGAAACAGGTAAGGAGCAACCTGGGGTCTAGTTGTAGTACTCTGCTAGCAGAAGATATTGGGAGGAAGGAACTAATGGGAATGGCTCTGTAGCATCTGTCTTTCCATCATCACGGGACCATTAGATGCTCTTGCTGGAAGCTTTTACGTGGTGGGGAACCTCTTCTCTGATACTAGAGCATTGTTGGTGGATGTCTGCTGGATTTAAGCTCTTTGCATCTTCTCATGCTGCATGTGCTCTGAGAAGAGCCAGCCTGGGCGGTTAGGTAGATGGTTCTCGGTTCTCCCTGGTCCTGTGTGGTGGGATCCCACTAGACAGCAGGTGTGGCATGTCCCTTCATCACTGGACAAATGCTCTTGACCTTCATGCTGCTGGAAATACCTGGGAGAGCTCATGTTCATAAGTTCTTTGAATAGATCTAGGTACTTTGCGCCTATATGCTGAGCGCTTGGGGCAGCTGCTCAGGAGAGATTTCACATACTCCTCAGCCACTGGGGCTTGAGGGAGTCTGAACCCCCAGTGCCAGGGTCCTGTCAAATCTCTGAATTTCAGAGCAAAGGGGAGGATGAGTATGTCGGCCTGTATGTAGTCGTGGACTCTTCCCCACAGGTGAACGCCGCTTGGAAGCAGGTGCCATGGTTCTGGCTGACCGGGGTGTGGTCTGCATTGATGAGTTTGACAAGATGTCCGACATCGACCGCACGGCCATCCATGAGGTGATGGAGCAGGGCCGCGTGACCATTGCCAAGGCAGGCATCCACGCCAGGCTCAACGCCCGCTGCAGCGTGCTGGCTGCTGCCAATCCCGTCTATGGCAGGGTGAGTTTGGGTGAACGCTGGCAATTGAGAGACGCTTTCTCTGGATCAGCTCTTCTTCTAGTAGCTAGTGAGAATTGGACATGGCCAAAAACACATTCCAGGAGAGGATCATCTGGTCTCCGGAGGGGTGAGCATCAGGCCCAGATGGAAATTCTAGATGGTAAAAAACCCTGATTTACACCAGGTGCTGGGTAGGTCTCTGCAGCTTCAGATGCCAAAAGCATACCTGGATGACCATGCTGCACCCAGACCAGTGTTCCTGTATGCTGAGCACCTTGGGCAACTGCTCAGGAGAGATTCAGGTGCTGCCTAGCTGATTAACAGAGTGGCTACAGGTGTTCACAGCCAGCAGCATGTCGTTCCTCTAGTGGTGCGCATACAACTTTTTCCACACATGGATGAAAACTTAGAGAGAACACTGGCCCAGACTCTACACTCCTGTCCAGTGTATTCCCCCCTTCTTGAAGTCAGTGAGCAGGAGATTGAAGGTCTCCTTTAGCCTGTTCTCTAGAGCTCAGCCCAAAATCTGTTACACTGAGCAGTTAAAGCAACACGTGGTTTTCAGATAGGATCTGGAAAGTGCCTGGCTTGGTGTCAGCTGTGTAAAATGTACCCGATTCCCTTTGTAAATGGGGCCACAATGTACAATGGGGCGGCGAGATGCTGCTGGGTTTGGTTTCCAGGGGCAATGTTCAGATCAGGATGGTGTGTTAGCATCTTCCTTCTTAAAGACTGCGACTGGAGGGTTCTCCCTAATTTGTTGAGCTCCCTTCAACAGCTAGGATGTCCAAGTGCTTCTGGTAGTTTTTGGGTCCCTGTAACTCGCTTCTGTCCCCCTTGCAGTATGATCAGTACAAAACTCCCATGGAGAACATCGGCCTTCAAGACTCCTTGCTATCCCGATTCGATTTGCTCTTCATCGTCTTGGATCAGATGGACCCAGAGCAGGACAGGGAGATCTCAGACCATGTCCTGCGAATGCACCGGTACCGAGGACCGGGCGAGCAGGATGGGGACGGTGAGTTCAGTCTTGTCTCCTTCCTCACGCCCCCCTAATTCCTGCGAGGGTGGACTGAAGACAATGATCAAGCGATTTGTCTCCTGCCATCTCTCTCCAGCCTCTGACAGAGGCCAAGGACACCATTTTATCCCCTGGCTAATATCCTTTTATGGACCTAACCTCCATGAAATTATCTAGCGTCTCTTTAAACTCTATTATAGTCCTAGCCTTCACAGCCTCCTCTGGCAAGGAGTTCCACAGGTTGACTACACGCTGTGTGAAGAAGAACTTTCTTTTATTAGTTTTAAACCTGCTAATAAGAGTAGTTCTCTACTCTCTCCCTCCCCAACTCCCCAGAAGATGCTCAGATCTTGCAGGGAATGAGGCCCCATCTCCACTTGTGGGAAGATCGATGCTGCAGTGGTCAGTCTTCCAGCATTTGATTTAGTAAGTCTGGTAAAGAGCCACTAAATTTGAATGGTGAGGGCACTCCCATCATGAGGCACAGGGGAAGTTGATGTAAGCTGTCAACCTCCAGCTGTGGAGATGGAGCCAAGCTCAGCTTAAGGTACATCTGCTCCAACTACATCATTTCGCTGGAAGAAGTCGATCTTCCAAGTGTAGTGTTGACCTGGCCTGAGTTTCCCTGATAGCTGGCCTACAATTCCTTTTGTTCAGTCACATTCCATTTCGCCTAGTTAAACACGTCCTGTTACCACTCTAGTCCTTGGCTCTCTAGTATTGGAGCTCGCCATCTGCAAGGGTTTCTGGGGTGATGTCTGTGACCTAGCCATGCTACGTTGTAGTCTCTTAAGGGTTGGACCTGGAGGAGGATGTGTAAATGGTGCTCTTCTAATGTGTCTCCCAGCCATGCCCCTGGGCAGCGCGATAGAAATCCTGGCTACAGATGATCCTAATGTGATGCAGGAGGAGGAGCAGGAGCTACAAGTGTATGAGAAACACGACAACCTTCTGCATGGCCCCAAGAGGCACAAGTGAGTGTCCCCATCTGTCCCTGGAGCAAAGTATCCATGGTGCTCTCAATGTAGAGGGCTGAGCCTAGGCCTGCCCCTCTGATCCTGGTTGTATCTTCAAGGAGTTTCATGGTACGACCGGTTGTAAACAGCCGGGGCTTCGGCATGACCAGCTCAGCTCCCTTGTGGGCTTGTCAAGGGAGTGGGAGAAATGATACCTGCAGCAGTACCCTGCCTTTATATAGTGCCATTCATGTGGAAGTGTCCTTTGAAGGGTCACTGATCCCACTACTGACAGGTGCCCAGGCCAGGTGTGGAACACTGCAGTCTGTTCCACAGCTGGCGCATAACACAAGTCTCCAAAGAGGGTCACGGAGAACACTGTATGTAACTGAGCTTCCCATGCTTGTACACATTCCATGTACAGCCCTGGGTGGTGCCTGTTCTTCGTGTGTTGCTCATATTTGGGGGGCTTCCTTTTGGAAGGGAGCAGCATGGTACAAATGGAGTTTCCTGGTCCCGTATCGTAACTTGTCATGTTTGCATGTCTGCTCCAGAGAGAAGATAGTTAGCATGGAGTTCATGAGAAAATACATCCACGTGGCCAAGATCATCAAGCCAGTGTTGACCCAAGAGTCAGCAAATTACATAGCGGAGGAGTACTCCCGCCTCCGCAGCCAAGATCAGATGAGCTCCGACATTGCCAGGGTGAGCAAATCTCTCGGATGGGGGGAGGCAGAAGGAGATGAGGGAAGAGGTCAGACTGGGTCAGCTCCATTCTTTTCTCTTCCCCCTGCTCTCATGGGCCAGGGAAGCTGAGTCACACATCCAGCCCAGAGATGTTCTCTCTGAGATGCCCTTGGGGGGGGGAGGGTGGTGAGGGGGGTTGATGCTTCAGAGAGGTGACTGCCTTTCTTTCTCCCAGGCCCTTGTTAATAATTCTCACAGGGAGGAAGTGACAGATATCAGCCTATTTCCCATGCCCCAATGTTGGCTTTAAGCAGTATCTCTTCCCTGGAGTCTGCTACTGCCTTCCAGAGCAGCACATTTTCCAATTCAGGGAACACATGTGGAGCCTTGGGTAAAGGTTCTCTCTGGCCTAGTGGACTGGGATGCTGAGCTCACATGAGGCTATAGCCCTGAGTATATACACGTACATAGTGCCAGTCATGGACTAGGATAGTATCTGTCAACTCTTCCACAGGTTTCCTTTGCACCCTAAGATGTAAGTAGGCTACAGCAAAGATGCATGTGACCAAGGCTTTGGAAGAATGATCTTGCTTGGTCCATGCTGGGATTCCACCTGCAGCTGTCCAGTATGGACCATAATAAATGTGTGGGCATGGCCACAACATAGTGCTGTTGGCTGATCCCTCAGTCACTGGGATTGTCTTCTGCTCTCCCCTCCCAGACATCCCCTGTCACAGCCCGTACTCTGGAGACGCTGATCAGACTTTCCACGGCCCACGCAAAGGCGAGGATGAACAAAACAATTGACTTACAGGATGCAGAAGCTGCTGTAGAGCTGGTGCATTTTGCCTACTTCAAAAAGGTGAGCGTGCAGCTGGGGTGTGTCTGGCAAGGGGGAGACCCTCCCTCCCTCCCTCACCCCAGCCCCATCCCAGGAATCAGGTGCCAAAGGATTAAATTAAAGGAGCAAACCCCTGTTGGAACTTTCAGGATCTGTTCTTTGCATGTCTCTGTCATCGAGCTGGCTGTTGCTGGAGTCCAGGCTGAGTGTTGGGGCTTTGCAGCTATAGAGCAGGGTACAGACCTCCTTTCTGTGAGCCACCTTCCAAGACCCAAGCTGCAATAGGCCCCTCTCTGTGTAATCTAAGAAGCAAGCCACCCTACTGTTGTTGCTGCTGGTGGTCTCAGTCTGGGGAGGGCAGAATTTGGACTTTCACTCTTTGTGTGTGTGTGTGTGTATGTATGTGGCAAGTTGACTTAATCCAGTATCATGATGCTTGGAGATTGTAGCAAGAGGTTTCTTAAGTATTGTAGTAATCTTGGAATACTGGCAGTGTTCCCTCTAACTTTTTTCCCCATCTGTGTGGAATAAATTTTATGTGCCCTTAGGCATGTGCAGATATGTGCATCAGTACAAACATCTTCTGGCTGTGGGCAACTCTGGGTGCTCTCCTAATCAGCTGTGGAGCACCTGAGTCTCTCCTGGGTGGCCGCCCAAGCACACAGCTTGCAGGAAACATTGAATATTGAGTGTAAGGGCTCCTGGTTCTATTTCTGGTTCTCCTCCTAACTGTGGGCAGGTGATTCAGTCTCTATGCATAAGTTTCCCTGTTTTGAAATGGGGATGATCGTCTACATCTTGAGCTGCTGAGGCTAATTAAGATACTCTAAGATCTGCACTGCTACGTAAAATACTTTCTATTCCCAGACCACTGCTGTGACCTCTCTTGTAGAAACTGAAATTATATTGAATGCCTGCTGTGTCGACTGTCCCATTAATCTGCTTGGGTTTGGTTGTTTGGCTCCCTTTGCAGGTGCTGGAAAAGAAGAAGAAACGCAAGAAGCAGGCAGACGGTGATACAGAGACTGAAGAGGAAGAGGAATCCGAGGGTGTGGAGAGAAGGAAAAAGAGGTGTGTTGGGAGGAGGTGCTAGCTGGGATTGGTGAACCCAGCTGGATGGGAGATACCGTGAAAATGACCGTCTGTGCAAAAGCAATGCCAGAAATGAATTTTCCTGGAGAGGTCAGACTGTATTTGTCATGTCTCCTTCCCCACTCTGGTATGATAAATACAGAAGTGGGGGCCAGCAAGTACCTCAAAACCTTATCTACCAGGCTTTGTTATAAAACTTCTCCCAAAATCTTTAAAAAAAACCTAGATTTTGTGAATAAAACTTCTGCTTCCACCACCCAAATTCATAAAACGGGAGAGACCATTTGGGGAAATCTCACCCCTAAAATAAAAACCCCAGGACACAAATAACTAGTACCAGGTTAATAAAAAGAAGAGAGAAAACTTTTATCATCACCAATATTCCTGTTGCAAGCATAATAGCTAGATGGAAAAGTAACCAATAATATACTCATGGAGAAACTCCATGGGCCTAGAACTTGGTTACAAAGAAAAGCCAAGACATCTTTTAAAAAGTGCACAGACAGCAGATCCCATATTCAAACCATAAAACAATAAAACCTACTGGATTTATCCAAACTTTACCCTACTTACAGAAAGTGAAGAAAGTCTGCAGAGGAACTCACAGAACAAAAGAGGGAAAAACCCAAATTCCTTTGTCCCAGTTTGAAAGTCCTACCTACATTCCTATTGGCCACTCCACCTGGCTAGGTGTAGTTAATCCCTTAGTCCCCAGGCTGCTGGCCATCTCTCATGATCAGTACAGAATTGAACAGAGGTGAATCCCCAGAGGCTGTTGGCTAGAGGCCATTTCACCAGTTAGCTGTCTGCTCGGATTTTCTGTATGGTAATTGGGGGTTGGTGGAGAAGCTTTGTGAAAATGTCACAAAAAAGTCACATTTTTGGGGGGATGGAAATTTGATTTTTTTTTAAACCTTGAAATGCTTTGCACAGCTTCACAGCTGCTGCTCGTTTGTTATCAGAACCAGCCGGGGTGTCTCCTTTCAGTGTCTGAACAGAAGCACTGAGTTCACCAGCAATCTGCAGGTGGCTCAGCTGTATCCCTACCCACAGGTTAGAGGTGTGCAGTGTTGCCCTGTGGCAGGGAGGCATATTGCCAAGAGTGGGGAGGGGTGGAAGTAACCTTCTGGTGTCCTGCAGGAGGAAGAAGGCACGCCCTGGGGATCAGGAAGCCAAGGAAGGGGAATCCTATGACCCCTATGACTTCAGTGACACGGAAGAGGAAATGCCTGAAGGTAAGTGGCTTTTTCCCCTCTCTTCTTGGGGCCTGTGTGCACAAGGGGCTGTATGCGGCTGTTGCTGCCTGATGGAGAAGGGCACTGGCGCTGGAAGAGTACCCTGGGTGGCGTGCTGCATTTCAAGCTGGCTGCAGACACAGCTTTCAGGGCAACAAAATGAACTGAGCTGTTCTCCTCACTGTAAGGTGGGAGTGAGACATCTTAGGCTTCATGGGTGGGAGCCACGGGATCCTTCCCTACAGCCTCGGTCCAGTTGTTGTAAGCAGGGGGCTTCCACCACATCTCCTGGGAGACCGGTCCAAGGTGCAGCAGCTCTTGCTGGTGGAAAACATTTACCACGATCGTTACATGTTGATGCCGCACTCTACGTTCACGTGGCACTTTACAAGGGCCCAGTTTCAAGGTGCTGCTGTTCTTGGCACTGGTGAAGACCCTGTGCCTGTCTCGACAGGTCTTCAGTTTTATCCATGATGGTGAGTGCTAGAGACTGAGTACCAGGATGGCACCCCACAAGGAGAAATGCCATGTCATTGTCACGTTCCCACTCCCCCCAAATATCTGACTGCAACAACTACAGAAATCAGATACAGCTGTGGATATCACCAGTGGCACTTTCTTCCGTGGCACTTGAGAGTAGATATTGATTATGGTAGGATCCCAGGTCCCGTTGTGCTAGACACCAAATTAGTAAGACTTAATAGAAGGTAAAACTGCATGGAAGGGGTAATATCATTGCTATGGAGAAGTTAGTGGCAGCCATGATCTTCTTAGCTTCTGTACAGATATAGACTAAAAGATGGTACTAATCTCCTGGTTGCTGCAGCACATGCTACTGTATCTCGTATGTTGGCAGGCATGACGTGTAGCTTTTAGTTTCCAGCTCTCTCATCCTTGCTTTCTGCTTCCAGTCCAGGCACATACCCCCAAAACCCCTGAACCTGCAGTGACTGGAGAGAGCAAGAAGATGGAACTGGCAGACACCAGGTGAGTGGCAGGCTGAAGAAACTGTTGGGAGTGGCTGTTGTACCTGAAAGGGGTCAGCTTTGTGGCTTAGCATCAAATACATTTATTCAAAAACAGTTATGGAAATCCTGGGGGATTTACCACTCCTTCTAAACTAATAGGCTACATCTACACTGGCCCCTATTACAGAATAGGCATGCTAATGTAGAACTTTGGAAAAGGCAAATGTGCGGGGGATTTAAATATCCCCCACGGCATTTTCATTTTCATGGCCGCCGCTTTTTTCTGGCTTGGAGATAAGCCGGAGGAAAGCGTCCAGACTGGTGCGATCCTCCGGAATGAAGCCCTATTCCGGAGGATCTCTTATTCCTACTTGCAAGTTACAAAGAATAAGAGATCCTCTGGAATAGGGCTTTATTCTGGAGTATTGCACCAGTCTGGACGCTTTTCTCCGGCTTATCTCCAAGCCGGAAAAAAGCGGCGACCATGAAAATGCAAATGCCGCGGGGGATATTTAAATCCCCCGCGCATTTGCCTTTTCCAAAGTTCTACATTAGCATGCCTATTCCGTAATAGGGGCCAGTGTAGACGTAGCCTAGTGAGCCAGTGCAACAGCCCTGCAGGCTGATGTCTGCAAAACTGGTGCAGCTCTGTAGTGGTCAATGTGAGCTGGCCCACCTGATGTTGCTTCTCTGCCTGTTCGGGGCGGGGGAAAGAGGGATATTCCAGACCTGCCTCTTCCTGCTGTGTGTATAGAAAGGCTGCCTTTGATGCAGACACTTAATTAGCCCCTGACTCACTTCATTTAGGCACCTTGGTGATGGTAGTTCCTGGCAATTCTTTTCTTGGCGGTAGCTGACTGGGGTGGATTTGAGTGAGTCACCTGTTGGTAATGGGTTCTTGTCTGGCTAGCAATATATGGAGGCTTTTTTGTGTGTGTGCTGAAGAAGGTGGCTTACATTGGAGATAAATCAGGACAGTTTGAACTAATATATGCAAGCCACTCCAAAGATGGTTCTTCTCTGGGGAAGTTTACAGTCGACTTGCCTTAATCACCCTCGTGTTTAGTTCTTGGAAGAGATTTGGTGGCCTTTCACTGGGAGTAGAAAACAGTTGTGCACAAACAGTTTGTACATTTAATACCATGTGGGTTGCAATAGCTGTCACGAGTTAGGGGACTTCAACCCCCATGAGCTGTCCAAATTCTGAAGTGGGGAGAATGCCACCTGAAGCTGAGCTGAAGTATTCTTTGCTACTTGTCCTCAACGGCATTTCCCAGGTTGACTGCAGCCATTCTATCTAGTTTATAAAACACTTTTTGGAATCCTAGGGCTTGGAAAGCGCTCTCAGATATCTGTTGCCATTGACCCTGCCTTGTATTTGGGGGCGGCGGGAGGCAGATAAGGCACAAAGGTGATTAAGCCCCTTAAAGATTCCCAAGATAGGTTGCAGGTGCTAGGGTTCTCAGTCTTTGGTCTTGTGCTGGGAGCTGTAACTGAGGGGAAGAACTAATGGCTGGAATGAAGAATGATTTGAGTCTAGCTTCTGGTTCTAATGGCCTTTCCTCTTGCTTGGCTAGGCTGAAAGCATTCAAGGCTGGCCTCCTGGAGGTGTTCAGAGCTGCCCATGCACAGTCTGTGGGTCTGAAGAGCCTGATGGAATCCATCAACCGCGACAGATCGGAGCCCTTCTCCTCAGACGAAGTCAAGGTGGCATTGGAGCGCATGCAGGACGACAACCAGATCATGATGTCCGATGAGATTATCTTCTTAATTTGAGATTCGGGTTTGGGAGAGTTCTCTTGAATTTAAATTGAAAGCTCTTCTGCTATGGGTCCGCAGACCTATCCTGAACGCTTTACTTAACAGAACTGAACTGTGTGCCTCTTGAAGCCCAAGCTGGAATTGCTGAACTCTGTAGCTGTAGCTCTGTCCTGTCTCATGGAGCTTAGGAAGGAATAAAGAAGCTGGTTTCTAAAGGCCTGGGGATCCGAAGTCTGTTTTGGTTAGCTTGATTCCCAAAACCATTGGAACGTTTTTGTTGGAGTAGCAAAAAGCCTTTGGGTATAAATTACTTTGTCCTTTAGGTCAGTGTCAGCTGTATGCCGCCTATAAAGAGCTTCATTCAGGGCACAATAGTTGAGGTTGATTGGGTATATTTAGGTCCATGAGGAGTGCTCGGGATGCAAATTCTTGCCCCATACTTTCATGTAGCACAGATTTCTCATTCTGATGTGTTCCTTTTAAATACTCCTTCTGTTTTTAAATGTCTGCCTAAAGTGTAAAGTTTCCTTTTTACAGTGGCAGTGCACAAATTCACGATTTGCTGGTGACCGTTTAATAAATTCTCTCACTTCTTTTAGATGGGCTAATAACTTGCACTTAGTCAGGAAAGTGACTGTGAAAACGGCATTGGCTTGCATAATCTCTAGTGCTTGGAGACCTGCATCTCTAAGATGCTCCTTTTAAGAGTCAAGCTAATTTGTTCTTTCCCCTGAATATTTACACTGCAAACTCAAACCTCTACAGAGATCAGGTCTGCCAATGGGATGGGATGAGAAGGGGGCAAAAGAGGACAGCTGCCCATCCCAAGAGATTGAGGGGTCTGGGGCTCACAATCAGAGCCCCAGGTCCTTTAAATCATCACCAGTGTGCTGTGCCATGCTCCGATTGGTGCAGGGAGGGCTGGCTGCCTAAGGCCCTGCCCCTTCTGGGAGTGTGCAGCTCTCCCCACTCTTGTACAGGGTCCACAGAAGCTGTCTGCCTTCATGGCTGAGATGGAGCATTTTCAACAATGATTCTGCAATTGACTCTTAGTTGACATCCAGGAATAGGCAGGTCAGACTTGGCCAAATGTGATATAAAGGATCTTCCTGCTGTTCAATATTAGACTCAGGTGAGAGAAGCCAGGGAGGTGAGAAACTCAAAGCCCTATCTGCAATTCCAAAGTTAGATTGGGAGCTAGAGGATTGGAAGGCCTCGGAAATGCTGAGTTGGTAACATGTTTCCGTTCCAGGGTTCTACACCTCAAGGAATGTAAGGCTGCAGGGTTTCTAAGGGATACATTTAGTCCCGGATCTCTGTCCAGAGTTCGCACCCTCCTCAGTGACAATTGTCCCTGTAGAATGAGTAGAACAAGATGTGTGATAAGTTGAAAACCGTGTCTAATGGAGAGACAAAGTAAAGCTTCCTTGATGTGGCTGAGGTGTTCTTGAGCATAGATCCCATTCATTTTCAGAGGGTTTAAGCATTGTTCCATTGATTTAATGGGACTTGCATACTTTACCCAAAGACTCCACCAAGCACTGTCAGCTCAATTAGTGCCCATCCCTATCGCTGCTGTCCAGAGGCAAGCAGACAAGAATGCTAACTCCCTTTGGGCCAGTGATTTGTAAAATTGAACATTTGGGATTCTGGAATATGTGGTGTAATAAGCTTGTATACAAAACAATCCTCTATTCATAGAAGGCTCCAAACCTAGGAGACTAGTGTTATGTTTCAGATGACTTTTGTGTACAAGGGAGCCAGTCCTGAGTAACTTTCTCATGGTATCAGTGTTTGCCTCACAGTGTTGGTGCAAGGTTGATCAGAATTCTACTAGTGACTCTCTGTAAAGGGGGTCTGAGCAGCAGTGGCTGTGGAAAGTGGTCCTTGCTGTTTCATGCTATGTATAATAAATGCTGCTTTTTGCTTTGGGTAACTGTCATTTCAGTTTTGTGTTCAGTGATGGAGATATTACAATACTCATTCAAATAATAAAATGTCAAGGTCACACCTCTGCAGTGAGGTACCTTCATGTTGCAGGTGTTCTGTGGCATTGCCTTTTGCTCAGTAGAGGGTGTATTATGTGGCTCCATTAGGAAGCTCTGCACCCAACGTATTAGCTTCTGGATATGTTGGAACACTATGTTGCGATGGCTTAGAATGTGCCTTCCATTGGATTTCAGAGCAGGTATGTTTTGCATCGGGGCTTGGCAGCTTTTGCACGGATGCCAATGAGATCCACAATTATTACATGTAATGGGTAATTTTGAGGTACAATGGCTAACACCTGCTACTAACTTATGAGAGAGACTTCATTAACAATGGCTCCACTAGGCCCCAATTACTGTCCAATTACTTTTGAGCACTGATGAATGAAGGACTATATCATATGGTGCATGGTATGTGAATGACACTATAATATACCTCATGAGTAGTAGTTCAATTCTCAGTGGGCCAGATTTATGCTAACTAGTACCTTTACTTGCTATTTATTTAAACAATAGGTTAGAGTAATACCTACAGCAGAAACTGTAGGTGACCTGACACCCACATATGTGCTGTGTAAGAGTTCAGTGTTTGTGTGTGTTCTATCTCAAACTGTAACAAATCAGACCAGGCGTTTGGCCAAAAGGAAAGTCTGTTTTCTGGGATCTTTGCCATTAATCTCTTACCAAGGGGGGTGAACAAGTACTGTGTTCAAATTCCAAATTGCAGTTCTTTTTGTGCCCGTAGTTTTGTGTGAACAATTAGGGACTTGGTCGTGTTCTGGGTGAAGAATCATCACCTTTTACCCTGTAATCCTTAAGTGCCTTAACACGTTGCTTCAGTACATTTCTGCTTGTCAATGCTTGCAGTCAGAAACCAACATCCATTTTATGTCTATGTAGTGGGAAGCCATGGTCTGATGTTTTCGATCCAGGAGTCTGCCTACAATACAGGAGACTTCCACTTGCCTTGGCATGGTGATCCCAACCTGAATTTTCCCAAAACCGTGTGATCTGCAACATCCAGTTCTCAGATCATTCAGTGAGATGAGTTTGAAAGTGCAAAGTACAAACGTGCCTGTCCTTTAAGCGTCCCTGTCACTGAGTTCGTTTATTGTAAAACAAGCTTAACAACAAAAGTATAGGTGAAGTAATGCCACGTAAAAGAAATAAAAGTAGAGATGGTCACAAATGTGAAAACATCTCAAAGTTGAAAACTTAATCCAAGGAGTTACAGGCTTTGTTCAAAATGCTTTTTCTTCGTTTTTGTCACACCTTTGCTTAGTTGCATTGTCAACAGCTAGGAAGGAAGGTTGCTATCCGGTGTTACAATGTTGACCTGTTACTTTGGCGTATGTTAACTTATTAGTTACTCTTTTGAAGGGGGAGTCGATAATTTTATCAATGTGCTGCTTGTGTCATTTGTACTCTCATACGGAGCTATGCTGCTCCCTTCTGCCCGTTCCCTCCCAATGGAGCTATTCTGCAGGATCTAGGTTCTCCAGAGCTGGGTTCTTCTCTCCCTAGAATCAGAAACTCTCCTGAGACCGTTCAAGGGCCACACACGCTAAGGGTGTGTCTAAACTACATGGCTCCGTCACGAGGCATACCTGCGCCGGTCGACAAAGGTTTCCTTGTCGACAGCGGTGCGTCCAGACTGCCCCAATCTGCCGACAAACAGCTGATCATCAGCTGGTCGGCAGAGCGCGGCAGCCATTTAAATTTAAATGAAGCCGCGATTATTTAAGTCGTGGCTTCATTTCTCTCTGCCGATCAGCCTACTCTACATGGCTCCATCGACGGAGCCATGTAGTTTAGACACACCCTAACAGAACATGTCCGAGAGGACTGGTTAATCAACACTCACAAGCTCACCTCTTATGTCCCTAGACTCAGTAGGCTGGATTCCACAGCAATGCCAAGCTGTGACTCTCTCATGCCCTTGAAATCAGTGAGCTGGGCTTAACAGCACTGTAAGATGCATCCTTCATATGCCCCCAGGCTCAGCATGTCCTTATTCCCACTTTCACATGATAACCGTTCTTCTAGTAACCCATGTAATGAGCAAACCCCATAGGATTTTTGGACGCTACTGGGATCTTTAGCTTAGGTACAAGGAGCATTGGTGCAGAATGAATGGGGAAACCAAAAATAACACCCATCTGCCCCTGAGTGAAGGGGAGTAAGAGAGAAGCAAACCGCTTAACCATGGAAGTTTTATTTATTTCCAGGTAGTAACCATGCAAGGGTAACCAAACAAACAACGTACAATATTAAATTTAACCAAAATCTGTTCACAAAGCTAGATCTAGCAAAGCATAACTCATCACATAAGGCAGAGATAGGATCCTGTATCTTGAGAGAGATCTCACCATGCAGTGAAGCATTAATCGATGGGGGTTCCCAGATGGTGATGGTAGCTGGGGGTCCAGAATAGTGGAGACAGTCAGGCTATGTGTAGACTGGCGCGATCTTGTGCCAGAAATATGCAAATGAGGCTCAGCATGGAATATCGCTGAGCCTCATTTGCATATATAATGTGCCACCATTTTTGCAGAAGAGGGTCTTGAGCAAGAAGGAGCATCTACACTGCCCCTTCGAGCAAAGCTGTTCTTCCTGAAAAGTAATAGACTGTCATGATTTTCCGGAAATGCCTTTAACTGAAAAGTTTTCCGTTAAAAGCATTTTCGGAAAAAAGCATCTAGATTGGCACGGATGCTTTTCCGCAAAAACACTTTTTGTGGAAAAGCGTCTATGGCCAATCTAGACGCGCTTTTGCGCAAAACAAATCTCAGCCTAGACATAGCCTCAGAGCAGAGGCTCCAGCAAGATTAGTCAGTAGAAGATGGAATCCCGATGGCCGGCGGAGATGGGGGGGGACTGGCCGACGGGAAGCAGAGCTGGTTGGGGGGAGTGGGGCTGGCCGGGGGAGGGTGCTGTCCTGCAAAGCACTAGCAAGTCCAGACCCAGGGATTCCCTCCTGTCCCGGCCATGCCCCCCCCCCCCTTGTGTAGCTGCATGCTGCCTGGCTGGTAGATACTCACGCAGTGTGTCTACCAGCCAGGCAGTATGCAACTACATATTGATACACCGTATAATAATAAAACGTACCTAATTAGAAAATACCAGACATTTTATATGTCCGGTATTTTCTCAATTTGCTTCCCAGACAGAACCCTCAAATATTGGACTATCCGGTTCAAAACTGGACACCTGGCAACCCTATGTCCCAGGTTAGTAGATTTTGTGTGCTTCCTCAGATCAAATTGTGGAAGAAAATTGGCATCACCATATATACACCAAAATGTATCATATTTTTGTTCATCCAGAAATATACTTTATGCTATGTACCAACAGTGTCCGTCTGCTATGTCTATTGGACAAATTTCTCAGACACGTCGCCAAAGAATCAATGCACACAAAACAGACATCAGACAGTTTCACAAAGAAAAAACAGTTTCTTGCCATTTCAAACAGACTAGATATTGTCTCGACCTTATTACATACATCCTGCTTCAAAGAGACTTTAACACCAGACTACAAAGGGAAGCCTCAGAACTGTCATTCATGCTTAAATTTGACACTTTACGAATGGGCCTTAAGATGCTAATTATCTTACCCATTACAAAGATAGCTTCCCCAATTATCAGCCCAATAGCATTATCTCATAGACACTAACCTCCCCCCGCATCTCCTCTCTGTTCTAAAATCTGATTTCTCAGTTTTATGTGTTCACTTTTTTTGATTGTATCCCTTTGGTATATCTGGTCATGTCAATTGTCTTCCACAATTTGATCCGAGGAAGTGGGTCTGGCCCACGAAAGCTCATCACCAGGGCTTGCCAAGTGGTGGCAAGCCCTGTTGGCCAGCTTTGCGGAAGCGCACGCTGCGCATGCGCAGACCGTGCTGCGAGGCCCCGCCTGCTTAAAATCTACTCCCCATGGGCGAGTAGATTGAATCATTTGTCGAGCCATGGTCATCACCTAATAAACCATCCTGTTAGTCTTTAAAGTGCTGCTTAGTCCTGTCTTGTTTCAGCAAGATCAGACTAACACGGCTACATCTCTATTACTATTCTCCAGCAGATGACAGCAAAGACCAGTCGGTATGTAAATAAGGCACAACTGAGAACGGCAGTTGGTATTTAAGTCAGCTACACCCTCACTTAGTCAACTCTCGTAGCTGAGAGGACAGCAGACTGCACACTAAAGTATGTCACTTTTCTAGTACGCTTCAAGCCACGGGGCTTTAGAGTTGACCAAAATTTTTTTGCATGTTGATTTTTTTTGATGAATTGCTAAACTGTTGCAATGAAAATGTCTTTTCCAGTTTTCCTGCCAGTTGAACTGACCTGAATTTCTAAAAAAAAATATTTTGTACTTTTTTCAGCCAATTTTCCTTGAAACTCATTGTTATATACAGAAAAAATGGGAAGGAAAAGGACATATGGTGAAACTAGCCTAATGCTCCACTTTTCCAGACAGTTGGAGCAGGATGAAAAAAAATCTGTAATAAAGTAACTTTTGGGTCCCAAACGTAAAAAGATTCGCCATCGCTGGTGGAAAACATTTTGATCCCATCCTGCTATTTTTGGTGCACTAAACAAACAAGTCTAACACATTTTGCCTTGATCCCAGATGCAAGCCAGTATAATTATGGACTCCTGATGCACTTAGATGTATTCACTCACACAAATAGACGTATTGGCTTCAGTGAGATGATAGGGTTGCAAATGTAACTAACAATTCAAGCACAATCTAGACCTATGTCTTTTGTGTAGTCTCAGCAGTAGCACTAACTTCCATTTTCACCTTTGCTCTGGAGTCTTGTTATTTAGGGTTGCTCTGCACATAGAAGATCTACTGGTATCATAATCTTGGGCAGGGATATATATTTTTACCAGCATAGTTATACTAGTAAAAGCCCTAGCATAGACACTATTAGATCAGAC